GTGTGTGTGTGTGTGCGTGTGTGTGTGTGTGTGTGCGCGCGTGTGTGCGTGTGTGCGTGTGTGCGTGTGTGCTTGTGTGTGCTTGTGTGCGTGTGTGCGTGTGTGCGTGTGTGCGTGCGTGCGTGTGCGTGCGTGTGCGTGCGTGTGTGTGTGTGTGTGTGTGTGTGTGTGTGTGTCGGAAGGACCCTATCGGTCACGTGCCGTTCCGTCAGACACCCACGCGACCTGAACCATGCCTACATAAACCTTGACGCTAGCATCAGCTCGGCCTATAGCCCAAGGCCGAGAAGAGTCTGCTAGCAATATCGGCTCGGCTAAAGGCCGATACGAACAGCACCGTGATGCATCTCCATATACCACGTATCGGCTCAGCCAAATGCCGATCAAGTAGAATAGTCGAGCAAGTACTTATCGGCCCCGCCAACAGCCGAAGACGTCCAAAACCCCAAGCCTTAACTTGTCGGCTCGGCGATGTGCCGAAGGATAAAGCAAGGATTACAATATTGATCATGGTTAACAAGGATAAGCGCATGATTAAGACATAATTAGCCGATTAGCGTCATATTACCTAATTTAGTAAGCTTTAGAAGAGGCCCACTACTGACAACGCCCATCAGTGGTAGTATAAATAGGTCACTTATATCGAGGTACGTCACTGTTCATTAATTATCCTAGATAATCGTGCTTGTCCTGACTTGAGCGTCGGAGTGCCTTTTGCAGGTACCTCCCCCCTCTGAAACGTCCACCAGAAGTATCCGTTCGGCCCTTCACCACCTAGAAGACTACGAGTGTATCCTCAGACAGGTACATTTTGGCGCCCACCGTGGGGCCGAACCGATAGTTGTAAAGACTTTTGAAGACATGAATCGTTATGGCAAAGACAAGAAGAACTAACGTTGAAGACCACCAGTCTGAAGATGAGCACCGGTCCGGGGCAGATAATGCCGAGACGGTAGAGGAGACAAACTTGATCGATATGGTACGCCAAATGAAGGAAGAAATGGTCGCCATGAAACAGCAAAGGGAGCCGAGATGGCTGCGTTGCGAGAAGAGAATGCCGCCCTCAAAAACCAGTACCAGGATCTTACATGGAAACCCTCTGAGACGACCCACACTCAGGGGTCGTTTCACTCGCACGGCCATCACACCTCTATCCTTCACACTTCTGTTGCTGCCCCAGGTGTCCATGCTTCGGTCGATCGGCCGATACAACTAGTGCCGGCCGGAGCACACCGACACCCCTTCACCCCAAACATCATGCAATCTTCACTCCTTGACCATTGGAAGTCCTTGCCACTCGGCAAGTAAGATGGTACAACCGATCCAGATGAGCACGTGGATGTGTTCTTAACTTAGGTTACCCTACGTACCATAGATGATGCCGCGTTGTGCCGAATCTTTCCAACGTCATTAAAAGGGCGAGCGCTGAGCTGGTTTACTCGACTCCCGGCCAACTCCGTTGACTCTTTTAGCTCATTGGCATCTCAGTTCACTGTCCAGTTTGCTACGAGCCGGCCCTACCAGCTGACTTCATTGGCCTTGGTAAGCATCCGACAAGAGAAGAAGGAATCCCTTCGCACGTTCATAAGCCGATTCAACAAGGCAGCACTGGAGATCTGAGATCTAAACCCGGTCGTCGCCCTTCACCATCTAACCACCGCCCTAAAACTAGGACCGTTTGCCAACAACATCTGCAAAAAACCACCAACCGACATGGATGACTTACGCTGACGCGCCGACAAGTATATGCAGATGGAGGAACTAGCCGAATTCCGCAACCAAGCAAGGGCGGAAGCGAGAACAACTTTTGAAGCCGTCCGAAAAAGCTCCTCCCTCGAGAAAAACCCCCCGCGGGCCGAGGTACTCACAATACACGCCACTCAACGCCAACAGATCGGCTATATTGGAACAAGCGCTCGCCATCGAAGTGCTCACAATCCCAAAACGAGCATCGACCCCCCCTCGAGCTGACACAAGCAACTCGTGCAGGTACCACCGAAACCGAGGGCATTCGACTGAAGAATGCTCGGCTCTAAAGGATAAGATCGAGGACCTAATCAAGTAGGGACAACTCCAAAACTTTGTGGACCGACATAACTCTTCTCGGGATGTTGAACGCACTCGTCACCATGAGCGAAACGATCGACAACGGACCGAAAGGCGCCCTCACCGGGAACGCAGCCGATCGAGGGAACGAAGAGAGTAAGAACCGACACCCCAAACCCGTCGAGTCATCAACACCATAGCTGGCGGGTTTGCTGGCGGCGGTACCACCTCTTCAGCTCAGAAAAGACACTTACGAGCCGTCCGAGGCATTCACGCCGTTGAGAAGGTTCACCGCAAACTACCGGCTATCACCTTCTCCGAGGCCGACTTCAAAGGCATTGATCCCGACCAAGATGACCCGATGGTTATCAGCGTCGAGATCCACAACTGTATTGTCCGAAAGACGCTCGTTGATCAAGGAATTTCAGCAGATATTCTGTATTGGAACACTTTCAGACAGCT